GACTTGTCACTTAATAACAGCAGAGTACGTAGACACCTGTAAGATAGTGAATCTAAGGCATTTGTTCAGTGTTTATATCAAGTTATATTTCAATTACCACCAAGAGAAGGCCATATTAAATGGTTATAAGTTTAAAATCCAAACCTGTCACTTTTTTCAATCGGACAAGTGCCTTTTCTCTTTTTCCAGTCTAAAATATATACAGATGAAAACTGATGATAAAAACAAACACTTTTTACAAAATCATTTTATTGGGGGCTCATACAACTCTTATCACAATCTATCCATCCATCGTGTCAAGCACTTTTAATTAATGTATGGATTGTTATTAGAGCTGTAAGAGCCCCCAATAAAATGATTTATTAAATATAAATAAAAAGTTTTTGTATCCAGAGTAATGAAAACAAGAACAGAACACCTTCTCTGTGCTAGGTATTATAATGTGCTTAACAAAAAATGTTGGTGCAAAACATTGGAGTAGGAGCTTTGAAGGGTTCATAAAAGTTTATGAGTGATGGGGTGCCACACTCTGTTCTCAATTGGAAAACACTCGTAAAGGCCAACAAACTGACCTTGAACTAGTTACAGGCTTTTCCATTTTTTTGTTATTGTTATTTTCTCTTTGTTTTTTGCTGTTGTTATTTTGTTGGTTTTGACTTTATTGTATTATTTGGCTTTGCCTGGTTTTTGCACTGATTAATGTATCTGCAAGTCTATCTAGATAAGATAGGTGGGATAAATAATTCAGAGATGAAAAAAACAAGACCAATGGTTCTGGGGGGGATACAGGAGAAGGGGAGGTGGGAGAAAGGAAGGGAGAGGGGATTGACCCAGGGACAAGGGAACAACAAGTGAGCTAAAATCAATGGAAGGAAGGTGGTAGGATGCCTAGTGGAGCTTAATCAAGGGCAATGTAGTAGCGAGGAATTACTAAACCCAAATGAAGGCCAAACATGATGTTGGGACAAGAGGAAAGTAAAAGGAAATAGAGGAAAGAACCAGGAGGCAAAGGACATTTATAGAGGCCTAAATACA